AAATTTGGGAAAAGATAAGAACGATTTACTCTCATTTCGGAGAAACTCGGAGAGTGATTTACTCCGATTTTGAACAAAATCAAGAACGGTTTACTCGTAATTTGAGAAAAGATAAGAACGATTTACTTCGAATTTCGGAGAAATCTTAGGAATGATTTACTCCGATTTTGGTTTTTTCGAATACTAAAGTGCTGCTTATACTACTAAATACACTTCTACTGTATAAACTGGAATACTAAACTGGTATTAAATGTGTTCTTTGAAGAAGCTTTCTTAACCGACTTAGATGACTTATTTCTATTTTTTTCCGCCTACATCTGAGAAAATTACAGTGAATGTAACGTTTAGGCAAACTTAATGAGTGATGCTCATCAATTATTGATACTTCACCATGAGCTCGGAGAATCAGGGGCTTATTTTTGGAGACCTTACTCCCAGTTTTGAGGATCTTACTCCCATTTTTGGATTTACCCTCCCATGCTCCCAACTTCTTCGCGCCACCACTGTCTAGAGGGTCTTCGTGGGTCACCCAAGGACCTCCAGGAGATCTCCAGAAAACCGTTCAGGGTTTATTGAAATATGAAGCTCTTGTACCAGATTTATCCCAATATTTTTAACCCACTATTTCTGAAAAAGTTCTCTGCAGATTCCATAAAGATTCTCTGACGACGTCGAGCATGGGTTCATTAGATGCACGATAGTCAATTACCTATGAATTCACGTTGTTTATGAACAACAAACATTCTACGTTCAGAACCAGTCAAAAAATTAGTAAATTTGATTTTTATTTTATTTTATTATTTTCTCTACTAATAGAAAAAATTTTAAATAAAATTTTAAAAACTAAAATCCAATGGTGCTTAGATAACACAACACCAGAGTAAATCATCCTTTAGGCAAATACATAAAAGATAAGAAGCAGTAAATATTATAAAGAGGCTTGTAGTAATTCCAGCGAAGTAATTCTTTCTTCTTTATTCTTCTTATTGTGATTATTCTAAGCCGTTTTAACAATCAATGAATAAATTTTAAAATTATTTCTCTTTTCAATGAAATTCCTCGGTGTGTCTTCTATGTTTTAAAGAACTGGTAATCACTTAGTGTATACCTTTTATTAGATGCATGGATGTGGAAATAGATTCACTAATTAGAAGATATGTACACAGATTCATTTCTCCATTCTGTCTACAAATCAAAAAATGTGGCATCGGACAACTGTTAACAATTAAAAAGTTCGAAGTCCAACACATATTTTTCTTCCACTTGTGAAACTCATCTCGCCAAATATGGACGGTTGTTTAAAAATAGAACGTGAAATGGTCCACATTCAGTACCCAGAGAGCTATCTCCCGTTTTCAGAATGTCTCTACATAGTTCTCTAAATCATACGATTCACTTTTTGCAAAAACGATGACTAAACAAGAAAAGAAAAAAAAAATTTTCTGAACAAATACAAAATGTCGTCGACATAATTAACTTTTTTAAAATTATATATTATAATAAAAATAAGCATACTACTATAGTTATTTGTACCAAATTGCAGAAAAATTCGCTTTTGTTTTGTGTAAAATTTTTATATTATTTAAAAATGGTCGAATTTTGTATTAGTCCCACTGAGAAGTGTAAACGAGTCATGCAAAAATAAATTAAAAAAGCGTATAATAATAAAAACGCTATAGGTGAAACATTATTAAGAAGGTGTCAATCTTTCCAATACCCACCCTATTTTAGCCAGTTTCAAGTAGAATTACTATAACTTTAAGCGAAATACATTCTCTTTTGAAAATACTAAAAATGTGCATTTTTCTTTTTTCTTACCTATGACAACAATTTTTAGCTTTAAATTGGATATTTAATTTGAGATTTTTGCTGAAATTGACAGATTTAATTTTCTAAAGCGTATGCATTTAAAGTACAAATAATCCTCTACAAAAGATGAAAATTTCAACCGTTATTGTCATTGTCAGTCAGAGCTCAAAATTCTCTATAAGATGGTCTAATTTTTAATTAGAAAGGTGAAATTTTGTTGTTGAAAAAAGTTGTTTTTCTTTCTTCCAAGCATTTTCCTGACTGTTCATAATTACCACCAGAAGAGAGAATTATGGATATTTGATAGGAGCTCTCTAGAAATTGATAAGTATTAATTAATCGTACTGAACTTGAACAAGATATTTTACATCAGCAGATAGAGAAACCTCAGGTCTGTCTACTATGAAGTATTGTCTTTTCCCGAGTGAAAATGCTTGAGGTGCGCTAAAAATACTGTGAGAATAAAAAGACTAGTCGAAATGATTCCAGTTTACTCTAATAAGTATACGACAAAGTAATTTCCTTCTGCAAATAGTCAGATAAATTTTGAGGTCTTTGAAAGAATAATGTTACTAATTTCATTGTAAGAATGCATGGTATGTTTTCTTTCCTGTAATATGGAAATCTAAAAGAATTTTCTCTCATAACTGTCTAACATAAAATAAGCTTGGACTGTTGAAGAATACAACTGTTATTTCTATTTCGTCCATAGCACAAGTGTCAGGTATATTGTCTGTAGCATATTCTTACAGTATCACTTTCATCAACTAACTGATTTAACGTAAAAGTAATTACTATCCGATAGACATAAAAATAGCTGTAGTGAATAACAGACGTACGGTTATGTTTCCATGTGTTATGAGACAGCCTTATGTTAGTTAAATTAACCTTAGAATATAAAAGAAACATTAAGAGTTGAAAGTAAGATGCAACTAATTCAAAATTCGAGTGAAATGTTTTTTAAACTTAACATACACCATTCGATAGAGTTCTTCGAGCTGAATCCGAATTTCTGGTTTTTAATTTTTCCAAATGCTTTTTTCATTGAAAAAAACACAAATTTGGATTCAGCTCGAAGAGCTCTATCGAATGGTGTATGTTAAGTTCAAAAAGAAAAATTTCAACTCTATTGTTGTTATCGCATTCTAATCGTTTGCTGTTGGATACGTGTATAATACCGTTGAATTCGTTTAAATAAAGAATAATAAGTAGATTGATGCTACATGGTGAAAGAGAGACATATTTTTATAGTTATTTCAAGTTTTCCTGATGTATTTTTTTTCTTTAATGCTTTCAATTGTTTACAGCTGATTTTCTCTTTAACTCGTTCTTTCTACTATTATTCAGGCCATAGTATGTTTTTTTCGTCTCGTTTCTTTTTCTACTACAGTACAACGAGTTCTACCAAAACGTAAAATGAAGACGGAAATAGTGACACTAGTCTTTCTATCTCTCCTGACCCAGTTAGTTGTTGCTATTCTTTTTATTCTTGCATATGCAACAATATATATATATATATATATATATAGAAAAAAAATGTTATGATATATATATACATAGAAATATATTTCTTTTATACCATGTTTTTTTTTCAGACACAATTTTTTTCGAAGAAACAGACAAGAGAAAAGCTGTTTGTATTATATAGATGTATATTATTCTATTGCATTTTGATGAACGCGATACAATTTGTCAAAAGTTCAAAGATCAATGAAATATCAGTCATTATTATCGATTATCAATTTTATTCTATATTACGTTATTTTAAGTCGGTTATGTTCAGCTAAAACTCTTCCATCAAGAGCTTCAATAAACACATTTAATAATACTTTAGTAACAAATGAAACCAAGCAGCCATTAACACAACAGGTTAAGATACTTTTTCTTGTATTATTATGCTGTGAGAGTGTGATGCACATGGTTACGTACCAATTCTTTATTGAACTCAGATAGCCGGCATAAAGCTCTTTTTTATTCGTCTCTGAAAATAAAAGGCATGTATTTTCACCACTTTTTAGGCACTAGATCCTCCAATCGAGGATGAACAACCAATTCTCATACCTGACGATATGAGTGATGAAATAATTGACGATGAACTTATAGCGCCTGAAGCAAAAAACAAAGAAGTATTTGTTAATACTCTGTTAGATGATCAAACATCATTAGCAGTGGAAAGTTATCGTATTCCATCTTATCAACTCGATTGGCATTTCATAAATAAAGATACAATACGTGTAACATTTCGATTATATACGTTTCCGAGACAAACTAACCATCAAAATGATATTTCTTATTCATCAGCATCAATCACACCCGTCAAAAATCGTAAGACAAAAAAACCGACAACAACCACTACATCATCACCACCTTTGTCATCGATTCATTATTTAAAATATTATGTATTTGTTATAAAACATTATAAAACGATGAAAGAACGTGCATTAAGTATACAACCTCTTATCATTATACCCAAAAATCAATCAATAACAAAAACTGAATATATATCAACAACATTAAGATTAACAGGATTAAATAAAAAAGAAAAATATTCAGTATGTTTATGTTATTATCAAACAAACTCTTCTCAATATCGACCCGATTTTCTTCTATGTCAAGATATTATTAATGATTATTCAAAATTTAAACATCATAAATCAAACGATCGTAACGAATTATTTTTTATAATTACTCAATATTCTATTATTATTGCTCTTCTAATTGCTCTGCAAAGCGTATATACGATGAGAAAAAGACGTATTGCACACATATTACATCAACATTTAATACAAAAAGCTCACACTTTTCGTCATACACTTTCATCGGTTAGTCTCGTTCGACAATCACTTGCGTCATTGGACACGGCTACAACAGCAGGTGAACATCATCGAAATGGTGGTAATTCATCAGGTACACATAAAACAAGTCATGCTCTCGATGAATTTGATCATAAATTACAAAATGTTTTACACGAATCAACAATAAACGAAGAAGAACACCTATCACCACCTAATATTATTATCAACAATGATGATGAACAACAAGGAAAAGTTAAAAAATCTGCATCAACAGTCGGTAGTAATTCAGATGAAAAAGAACCATTTCTAAAACATATTCACAGTAAAAATCATGTTCACTTTTTATTGGGTAGTAATACACCAGAAGCATCTGATGATGAAGATGATGAAGAAAAAAAGAAACTAGAACAATCAAACACTAATTTCCTTCAGAGTTATGATGAACGGATACTGGCAAAAACAGAAGAAGATAATGAAAATGCTGGCCCCTATAATGAACATTCGGATGCTGTACAATGTATGAAACATATATTAGATACAGCTAAACCATGGACAGCTGCAACAACAATTGCATCACTTTCAGCTGTACCAAGTTTAAGTGATAGTACAACTCACATTGGTGAACAATCAGTAACGACACAATCACCACCAAGAGTATTTCATGTCAGTAAGTCAAATGTTTGAGATAGAATAAAGTTTTATAGTTTGATTAATGATTCATTCATTTCACACTCTTTCATAATAAAACACAGTATCATATCCATTTACATGTTAACTTCACGTTCAACAGTTAATACTAACTGAAGACTTTAAATATTTTCTTGAGAGATTCCCACCAGGTTAAAAATAATGTGTCCACCACACTTCTTTCTTGTTGATCATTCCAAAATATTTACGATTTTTATCTTCGAGTTAGCCTTATTTGTACGATTTGATATTATCTTTCTTTTCTTCTATTCACCTAATTTTTAAGAGTTACTGATAACTATTTTTTGTTTTGTTACCGTTTTCATCTGTTGAATGTTTATTGTTAATTGTATTTGTTTTGAATTAGTCTTCCTTCTTTTATTAAACAAAAATACTTTCAACGTTTCGACAACGATGTTATCTTTATCAGAAAAATTGTAACTGGACATCTTTTACAAAACAAATTCAATTTATAATAACCTTCCTTACCTTCCTAGATATGAATGTTTATTGTTGTTTCATTGTATGTACATATATCAGACAGTAGTGTGCATTTTAACAATTTTTTTTCTTAGTAGTTATCTTACTATCTTGTTGGCTATATGAACCAACTATCAGATCAGATTAGAGAATAAAAATGGTATAAATAAATATTTTATGTGTATGAAACTACCAAAGAAACATGTCATGTCACTGCTCAATATCTTACCAATTTGATTATTTTTCTTTTAATTCCTTTTTAAGTAAAAAGAAGACAAAAGACAGAGAGAGAGAGGGATGAAAAGGTTATATACCCACAAACACACACACACACACACAATATTCTTTTTTGAACACAAATCACGTAAAAAAATGAACTATACAAAAACAAAGCAACGACAAGATGAAATAAAAGATCTGTAATCTTCTCTTTTTTGATCTAAACAAAACACTTCAACTATATAAAAACAAAAGATTTGACAAAAAAATTTTTTTCAAATCTTGTTTGACTGGAATACACACACACACACGCACACACAAACATGAAAAATTAGAAAAAGTTTGAGAAATACGTATACGCACATGTTCTTTGGTTTTTTTCTTTTGTAGAAAAATGGAAATACAAAGTATGTATCTATCGTTTATTTTTTTTGTAATATTGCATTCATATAAAAAAAGAGATCGAAAAAAACAATCGTAGAAAAACAAAAAATTGTTGAAGGAGATTCAACTTCGATAAATAACGATAATAACCGACCTGCAGATTATTTTAATATCAAGCACAAATATTTTTCAAAAAAATATTAGAGTTTTCTTTTTTTGATTTTTTTCGCATTCATATCAAAAAATCTATTATCGTGCTCTTTTGATGACTGAATAATAAATAATGGACAATAACATACAATGTAAAGAAAACGAACAAAAAATAAATAGGATATTTTTTTCTCGCTAGAATCAATTAATTCTGATTGGTTTCTCAGAAAATAAAGATTTTTTTGTTTTACGAGGATTGAGTGGCATTGAAACTTGTATACCTAACCAAACTGTATCTAAAAAACAAAAAGAATAAAAATATAAAATTCAACGTTGAATTATTGCTCTGAGACAAAAAAAAAACATACTTAGTAAATGTTTTAATTCATTCAACTTGATTGTTCCTTCGTTTTCGTCACATTTACATATTAATTTTAGACCACTGAATATTGAGAAACGATACTAAAAATATATATAAGAATAGAGAGTTTAAGTTGCATAAATACGCTTGGTTAATGTATGAAATATTAGTTTTTCAAATATCTGACTTCATTAGTAATAGAGCTGTGATAGTTACCAGTTACCGTTACCACCGTTACATTAACTGTAACTGCTGATCGGTTACCGTTCCTGGTAACGGTAACGGGTAAGCAGTTACCGTTTAAGTAACGGTAACTGTTCAGTATACCTTTCAAGTGTCAAATCTCTGAATATCTAGGCATCTAGTGAGGGTGAGGCTACCTCACCCTTACCCTCACCTTAAGTACCTAGATATTCAGAGATTTGACACTTGAAAGATATACTGAACAGTTACCGTTACTTGTAACTGGTCGTTACCGTTACCGTTACCAGAAACGGTAACTGATTAGCAGTTATAGTTACTGTAACGGTAATGGTAACTGTCATAACCCCAATTAGTAAGAGATTACTACTGTAGTTTTAAATATTCAAAGTGGTACAATACCTTTTCAAATTCTCTATTTGATAATCCCATTTTAATCTGAAGACGTCGTTTCACATCATTATAAGACTCATTCTATAAATGCAAAAAACCATAGTTAACCTCCAGAGTTTAAACAGCAAAATAAACAAATTTACATTAATAACTTTCAATAAAAATGGAAAATATGGTTGTAAATTAATTGAGAATGTGTTTGAATTATCCTAAAAATAGACATGCTTATGTAAAAAACCTGTCAATTAATACAATAATGAACATAAATTCTACTTTTGTATAATGTGCCACTTGTATAAGTACAGTATCTTTGCCCAAATCTAATTCATCATATGGTATTTCTTCTATACGATATATTCTATTTACATCTAGATCATCTGTTATTTGACTATGTTGATGGACTTTTATCTGAAATAAGTTTGATGTAGCTGGCTGAGTTACTTCAATAAGTCTAAAAACATAAAATAAAAAAAAGAGTTCGATCATAAAGTGAGTAAACGCTACAAATATAAAAGAAATATCTTGTATACAGATTCTCTATTACTTCTGAATTTTTTATTAATTTTCTCTCTCTCTCTCTCTCACTTTTTCTTTTTACCTCAATTGTTTCGTTCCTTTAGCTGAACATATTGTTGGTATCCAAGTTTTGACTTCTTCAAGAAATTCACCCACTGTCGATGTTTTTTTGGCAAATAATATGATTTCACGTTGTTCATCTTTTTTTAACATATCATTAACGAAACATCGAAATGGTCGACGATAATCAATTTCTGAATAATTAAATGGGAGCTAGAAAAATAAATAGTTATTTTTCTTTATATTTTTGTAAAAAGAAAATATTATACATACTCGTTTAAAAAATATTTTCTTTTGACCAGCTATCCGACTATTTGGCCATAAATCTTTCAATGTGTTACTACTACCAATATGTAACATATGACTATACTCTTTCAAACCTAATAGACTAGGTTGACTAGAAATCAATAACAAGATGATACTTCTTCCATACAGGTTTTAAAGAGGAACAAGATACATACTTATTTGGTCTGAATACAACCACCTTCTCTTCATCTTGTTCGATTCTTTCGGCAATCAACTGTATTAACTGTTAAATAAAACAGAAATAGAATTTGAAATATCAGATAAGGTTTACGAGGGAACATCCCGAAGTGTCCCTCTGGGATTTTAGAGAAACACATGGGGTCTAGTAGAGCTAGATGCACCGATCATAAATATGGTATTTTTAGCTGCCACCGTTAGCTCGCTGCTGAGTTAGAGTAGTTTTACTTTACTTTGGTAAAAAAATAATCTATTTTCGATAGATCACAGCTTTTTGCAAATATATTATTCACATTCGTCTAATATGCTGTTTTGTTAAGGAACTCTTCATCTACAATTTGGTATATGACATAACAATTCGACTTATAGTATGCGAGAAATAAATAAGCATTTACTGTACACGTATCTTTTGCTATGCAGCGTAATTTTTTGCTCCTATATTTCTGTACGAAAAAATAATTTTGTATTTTTAAATATGTCAGTTTGTAGGGAATTGAAAACACTTTCTTATGACATTTAATTTTAACGTTTATTATCAGTATAAAAGTATCAGTTAGCTTTCAACTTTATCTATTTCTTAATAATCCTACCAAAAGAAAGGATGAAGCAGTATGGGAAACACTTGATAAATATGATTTCAACGCTCGAATTGTGATGTTCCATATAGCAAATTGTAGATGAAGAGTTCCTTAACAAAACAGCATATTAAATGAATGTGCATAACGTATCTGCAAAAAGCTGTAATTGATCAAAAATAGATCATTTTTTGCCCAAAGTAAAATAAAACTACTCTAACTCAGCAGCGAGCTAACGGTGGCAACTAAAAATATTATATTTATGATCAGCGCACTTAGCTCTACCAGACCCCATGTATTTCTCTAAAATCCCAAGGGGACACTTCAAGCTATTCCTTCGTTAGTAGCATACATCTTTAATTAATGTTTTATATGGCAAAGATAATTCGAATAAAATTTCATGTCGAGGATTATCACGATTTATAACAGAGATTTTTTGACGATTTTCTAAACTTCTAGAAAAACAAAAAAAATATGTGGGTTCATGGTAGTAGTACTGTTGTTCATACTTTAGATAATCATCTAGACGAGGTAATGCATATTGCTGTAATTTTTGATCATTTACTTGTACAGTAAAATGTGCAACATGACATGGTTGATGACAAGCTTGTCCAAATGAAAAATCATAGGAAGATGTTTTAATTGGTTCAAATTGATTACAATTGACAGTTTGTAATTCTTCGTAAATAAAATACGTTGTATCTTTAGGTAGTTTTAAACGAATGGATATTTCACACATACATTGGCCTAAAAGACATCGAATAAACAACAAAGATGATACACGTAATGAGAAATAATTGATCATCAAATAACATACGTAGTGTATTATGTGTAGAAAATAAAAAATGACCGATATATGTCAGTAATTCATTTTTTGGATCGTATAATTTAACGAATACGAGTATATCATCTAAAGTAAAGAAAAAAAAGTTAAGCAAGAGTAACAAGAAAAGTACAAATTCTCTCACCATTCTTGTTAAAAGGCATTAATTTATAGACACCATTGAGAAATACTTTTTGCTCAACAAATATCGTTGGTACGGTAAATTCAAATAAATTATCAGTCCATACATCAATTACCTAGAATAAATCGAGCGTTCTATGAAAATCTGCACTTTAAACAATCAATTTCTCACAATTAAATTCAAATAGAGTTCAGAACTTCTACAGTTTATTTTATTTATAAATAGACAATTCTCTTTGTAAATGATGTACGTTGAAGCGTACAAAAGATGACTAAAGAATTTATTTCACTTGTATACATATTCAACTACGGAAGGTTCGAAAACAATAGTTTTTCATTTTTTTCTAATTTCAGTCATTGAGAAGAAATTAAACATGCCTTCTTATCGTAGTTTTCGTTATCTATAAAAGCTAATGATCTAATTCTGGTTTGATGGTGAATATTGTTATTATTATTGTTGTAATGATGATTATTTCCGTTTGTTTCATGATCAAACAAAACCCAAATACGAATATCTTGTATATTAGTTCCCTATATACGTATAAAACAATGAATTTAGAAAGAGAGAGATTCATGCATGGTACGTACTAGTATGTCAGATAAACGTTCAACGAATTCTCGAAATATTTCTAAACGTTTTGCTTGAACATAACGCATACGTTTGGGTTGAATTGAATCCAATGCACTAAAAAGAAACACGAATTTATATTATTTTTATTATTACTAAATAATGAAGTTCTATAGAGAACAAATGAATAGTATTAGTGACAATTTCTAATATCTAGTGTGATATTTACCATGTCGAATCAGATTGTTCATTAATACTCCATAAATCAAATAATTCATGTCGATAAAAATCATCTTCCAATATAATTTGTACATCATAAATACCGTCATTAATATCTTGTCTTCTTTTAATAGAAAGTTTTCTAAAACAGAAATAACTGAATTAATCAAACATATCAAATTAGACTATTACAGAAATTACGAATGCAGTGCGAAAAGTATGTGAAAAATTATACTAAATAAAGATCTTGTTGAGTTCATCAAAAGCAGAGTAAACTTATAAAAAATTGAGTATGTGTTTAGTATGAAACATATTGTATAGATTATGTATTTAAAAGAGATTCTATGCTAGTTATAGTTTTATAAAATTTAAGACGCAACTAAAAATCTTCCAGATAAAAACATTTTAATTAATAATTTATGAATATCTTATATGGTTCGTACAAATAGTCGCCACAATAACATTATATTCAACATGGATACACTGAACGACTATTATAGTTGAGTAGAAGTCAATCATTATTTTCATAATCCATAAAAAGTATTAGAGCTATCTGATCTTTTCGATATTCTATGCAGTAATATCACTCTACTATGAAAATATTGTGCTACTGCATGAAATCACATATCTCTGAATGAAATACTAAGCTTTTTACCAAAATTATCTAACTTTTGGCATTTATAGTGTAAGAACGACGCGTTTTATTTGATAGTTTAAGGGACAGAATGATATAATGGGAATCATATATTCTCGACTTCATTCTGGTCTAAGAAAAAGCTGAAATTAAATTCAATCGATGAATCGCGACAAAAAATCGGCCAGTTTTAGAGAATTTGATCAACTTTTGGGCTTTAGAGTGAACGAATGGAAGATCTCTGAATTTTTAGGGGAGGAAAGTTTTCCACTTCGCACTGATTTTATCAAATATTTTATTGAGGATAAATTTGATATAAAATAATTATTAACGAATATATTTACTTGTCATATTCAATTCGTGCAATTAAATGTTCTGGTAAATCTGATACGTTCACTTCACACAGTACATCATCTAATAAAAAACAAGAAAAATAATTTACATGGGTAAAAAAGCACTGTGTATATACCTTGACAATCTTCTCTAATATATACTAACATATAAGCACTTGTATTATATGTAATTGGTCCATCATCATCATTAATTCCACCAAAATTACGATTAAGAGCATCATTTGGTGCACAACGTGATACGACCTCATCGTCAAATTTAAACCACTAACACAGAGAAATATGAACATAATAATTTATTCTAAGAAAAATTGATGATCTACTCACTTCTCCATTTAATTCTGGACTAATAAATGCAACGTAATGTCTAACAATAATAAAATCATGATAATTATTTTGTAATATAATCACTGTGCAATAATACTTACCCACTACTATTATCGCCACTATGTACAAGTACGGACATTAATTTATATTTACATGGACAACAATCAGGTTTTTCCAAAAATTCACTGAGATCCAAATCACTGTAAAATGTGTAACTAAAATAACAATTTAAAAAAAAGAAATAAAAATATGATATATCATTAGGGCAAAACAACAGATAGACAAGCAGACGAATACACACGCGCGAACAAATACATTTATCTTGCCTATCATTGATTTTTCGATGTTGTGATGAATTAAAATCAAATTCAAAACGTAACAAATGTAAACATAGAACAGGAGGAAATTTTTGAAATTTAACGCCTTTTTCAGCGTCCTAAAAAATATAGAAATATATCCAGATAATTCAAGCATAAAATATGAGAAGTTACATTATTTGTAAACAACGTACTTGCAATCCATACTGTCCAGCATCATACATATTATCACCCGTTAATATTTCGCATTTACAAAAATCACGAAATGAGTCGTAGACTTAAAATGAAGATGAAGCAATTAAATTATTAAACATAAAAAAAGAATGTAAAAACTTACTATTTGCATTATTTCTAACTTGTAATGGTACATCATAAAATGATTGCTTCATACTTGATTCATGGTCAACCTTCGTACAACGGACATATTGCTAGAAAAGAAAACAACAACAACAATATTTAAACGTGAGCTTTTCTCAAAAACTGTATGAGCTAGAAACTTCATTCTTGCGCCATTCGACGCAGCTCGCCATACTCTACTTTCGATATAAAAACGAAGATATTTGGTTAAAGACTCGAATTTTTAGAACCGTTTGTCGGCGCGTGACGCTGTGACAAAAAAAGGTCCTAAATTCGAAGTTCTTCTCAATAAAAGCTAATTTGCTCCTAATTTAGAAGACTTAATAAAAAGCGTCTGAAGCAAAGTTTGTAGAGGAGGAAACGAGCTATTGATTACTAAAAAAAAGATTTTCCGATGAGCTTCCCATCCCTCAATAATTCTGTTTTAGCGCCGTGACGCTGTGACACACGTTTCTCCCACAAGTTTTGGAGCACTAAACATTGCTCAAAGGATTTGCTTTTCACATCGAACGTAGTTCTAGGCATCTGCTATAGACTAACATGAAAATAAAGTCGAAAAAATGTAGTCACTCCCTTAGAATTGTCCGAGAATCTCAAAACTTCAAACTTTATTAAAAAGCTTGTTTTGAGTCTAAACTTCAAAAGAAACATACCATCTTGTAGTGAATCGAATTCTCTATCGACTAGAGTGATCTTCCATTTTTTAAGGAAAGGTGTCTACATCATGAAATTGAAAATACAGTTTTCAAAAAACGTAAAACTGGATGTTTGCCGCTAAAATTTAACTTTTAAAAAAAATAATGTAAGATTCGTAATTAGCATCAAAAACTACATCTAGTGATGTGCTTCTTTCAGTTCTACCCTAAAATAATTTTTTCAAAAACTTGATCAGCGAAGTACCGAGTTACGTGGACAAGCCGTCAGAACGATTAAAATCATCGTCGTCTATGTCTGATTACGCTCGATGAGATCGTAAATGACTGTATCGGCGTACATATACAGACGTAATACGATGACCGTAGAGAAACGGTTTACAACCGTTTACAATCGTGTATAGCTTTTTATGACGGTTGTATACGATGACGTACTATAATATATGTTCCATTAAAAACGTTAAAAAATCAAAAGCATCAATAATGTATTATGTTTGTATGAAATACGACCGTATTTGGTTGTAAATTATCATTGACGATCATATAAATTCGATCTGAGTAACTCTTAAACACTTGATAGTTTTGATAGTTTCTCCCTTTTGATTTTTTTCCTCCACAACATTATTCTTTAGGTTTCTTACCACGCATTGTCCTTGAAATAACGATGGAATAATTCCTTCAACAGTTGTTCCTTCCATTTTTGATTCAAGTCTATCGAGTAACTGCAACAAATAATTACATGAAAAATTATACTCATAAATCAATACAAATTTTCTTACCACACGACAAAATTCTTGTATGTCATGTTGCATGAATTCATCTGGTTTATCCCATCTAAAAGAAGAAAAAAAGGTAAACATGAGCAAATTGTAATAGGATATACTGTAGGACATACCCAAATGATTTTGTTAACTTTTTCGTGCTTACTGAGTGGGCAGTAAACTGTAAATCATAAAATAATTTTTGTAATGCAAGTGGAATACTGTGAGATAAATCATCATTATCGGTTGGTAAAACATAAACAGCCTAGAATAATAACGAAGTATTATGATAAAATCATAGGTTTATCACATTAACGTTTGATATAATTTAGAAAACTGAATTTTTTTTATTTTATTATTATTTATATCTGATTAGAGTTTCACTCTTGCTAATGTCAGAGTACTAGCCCAAGACTCTGTAACTCGTCTTAGAAAACTATATGGTGCTGTAAAGAAGTATTCTGTTGATTTACTTTTCGCAGTTTATTTGTAAAGTAAATTGTTTGTAAAAATGAATTCATGTAACACGTTGCACCCTGATTTCTTAATCCGACAAAATTGGTATGGCCTTTGGAATCCCATCTAAACAATCCTTGCATTTTTTAAAGTACAAAAGAAAAAAAGAGCATGAAGCACGAGTAAAAGAGCACTTACTCAACATTTCTTGGTGCATCAGCATGAATTTTTGCTTCGATACGAATCGTATTATCTTGTTTATGTACAAATTCGCTATGAAAATCCTGAAAGAGCAGAAATATGTGAATTAGAGCAACCAGTTTCATACTCTTTGAGATTTATGTACTTTTAATGACTTGAAAGAATGAAAACCCCAGTCTATTGATCGTTGAGAAAATGTATGATGAATTTCTAAACAGAATCGAACACACAGACAATAGATTATTTTCTCTTTCTGAGCTAATTTACCCCGAATAAAATTTTTTTTTGGGTCAGTTGCATGTAAAAGCGTTAATTCAGCTGTAGCATAAATAGACCATCCAGGTGATTGTCTTTCTGGTTCACATTTCAAAAATAATCCTAAATCCCCGCTACCATTTACATAGGGTTCATACTCAGGTTTGTAATGTACAAGTAGAGTCCATGTAAATGTTCGAATTATTGTTCTGTCACTTATTAAATCAGTATTTGGGCGAATTGGTACTCGAAAATGATATTTTAATGAACCAGCATAACGATAAACTGAAAAAAAAGAAATGAAGGATCATAAGACTCTGAAGAAACTAATCTTGTGAGCAATTCGAAAGGTGATAACAAATACTAATTCGTTCTAGATCATACTTACTATCGTCTACACTAATATTTTCAATCGATTCATCGGAATATTCCTCTTCCTGTCCACTATCTGATCCAACGCCTAAAATACTTCAATATGCGATGATCTAACAACAACAAAGAACTGCTACTTCTTACCGTTTAATTGTTCATTTTCATAATTTTCATCATCAGAACTATTTGCTGTTCGAGCAAGTTTTGGTAATGGTGAGCCAGAAGGACTTATTAAATTGATGTCATTGCCGTTTACATTATTCTTGTCGTGCTGTTGATCATTAACAGGTAAAGAACGTTTAAAACTCATTGTAAAATTTATTTATACAAGCATCATTCTTATTGACATGACACATGTGAGATAATAACAACACCAATGAGCTAAAATTCAGACATAAACTGGTTGAAGATCGATTTTCCAAACAAAAAATGATTTGTATTAAAAAATAGTACTTGATCAACAAGCGAAGCAAAACGCTTATTGATGATGACCAGATCCTACCAAATGTGCAAATATTTGGATTTTTTTCGAACTAAAAAAGTAGTTTCTTTAAAAAAGTGAATTTAAGAAACACAAGTATTTATCAAAACTTGACTACTTATGAATTTTCATAAAGTATTCAAGCAACACTTGTTGAATACTAGTCTATACAAATATTTTCCATGTACTTGACCAAGTATTTTACAAAATCTGTAAATATCCAAGAACTAGATCACAAGTAAATCCACTAGGCGACCTCCTCCGGATCTCAGAAGAACAGTATTAGAAGCACGATTCAAATCCAAGGAGGGAAAAGTACCACTTCGCCAGTTTACTTCAGTTCACATGAAAATCACTTCACTTCTACTCAAGTCAATTTAAGACATGGTTATTTCAATGCCTTTTCCCGATTTTCGTCTCTGACAAATCTATTTATTGCATCGTTCTCAGTTTTATTTATTCCTTGCATGTAAGATGGATTGGCGTTAATTAATTCCTAGCGTTTAACTGTTGCTTGTTTCCATGCTGAGTAAAAATACATCAATTAACATATCTAATATTTACTCATCTCTATATTGACATTCTTTGACTTTTTTACGTTTTTTTTTATAAAACTAAGTATATTTAATATAATTGAAAAACATTTTCTTAAAATTATTTTACATAAAAAGTGATCTTTCGATACTTCACAGTATCATCATCAGGCTAATATGACTGTCGAATTAGACGAAAGATGATTATATATACTAATTCAGACAGGGGAGAAAGAAAGCACTAGAAAAATTGAAAATAGAAAAATATGTAGTATAAAATTGAGTGACTGCACAATTTTCTATTTTAAACTGTTATTTTCTAGACTGTCTAATCGAATACCACCGTCTTTAATGAAATGTCATTGTAGACTAGTTTTATTTATTCATACGTCAGTATTGTCTTTTAATTTCATTTTTTTCATATGCCAGTATACAGAGTTCGTCTAGATTTACAGTGAGATTGTTTTCAGTACGGATATATATTGCCTGTTTTCTTCTCATGTTGGTTTATTCTCGTGCCTACTTCACTGCCTGTTTGTTCAACATAAAGGTTAGTACAGTCTTTACATTCTACACAATAAACAACTCCAACTTTTCTATGATCTCTTCCTTTCTTTTTATGTGAGAAATGCTGCCGAGTGTCTGATACTTTCGAAATCCAAATCCTGTTACTCCGTGATACCAAATTTGTGAAGACTTCTCTTTAGACTTGAAACAAATTTCTTTGATTCACTTCGTAGATAATAAAAGCAAATATTCATCTTAATTTTATCACTACTGAACTCTATGTTCTGCATTTCCACTTGACTAGTTCACTTCATAGACAGTTCAAGTGAAATGGAAGTGAAGGGAAGTGGTGCTTTTTTTCGCTTGTTCAAATCTATACTGTACTGTTAAAGAATAGAAAGCTGCTAGTAATAGTCGTTTTAATTTCTAAATTATCGTTCTCGCGTCCATCTTTTACCCAGTATTTCCATTTGTTTTTTTCCAGGGCGAAAGGCATACGAGATAAAATAATACATAATATACAACAAAGTGGCGCTTCACCGGTCGACGTTCTTGCGCCTATTCTTGCAAGATTCTTGGCATTTCAGACATCTTGTAAAATGTTTTACATGTATTTTTATCACAAGAATCTTGCAGAAAATCGCTTTGTTTCGAGTTCATACAAGAATTGCGAAACGGTTTCTTGTATGAATTCACAAGAAAGCGATTTCCTGCAGGAATCTTGTCTTAGAATTTTTAAAAGATCTTGCAAAAAAACTGAATGCATATATATTACATTGTTCGTGTTCTTTTCTTTTCATATATTATATTATAGGAGCTAAGACGCTCTGACGCCAATACAGGCACATATAAAAACTCCATTGTCTTTCGACAAGAATCTGATAAGATTCTTGAGACACAGACACACACCCGTTTTGTAAAATCCTAGCTAAAGTCAAGGGAATAAAGAACCACTTATTCCACAGCGATTTATGACACTACTGCCATATAACGCGCTGTAAATCGTAAAGACGCTTTGGCGACTGACCATCCAGTTGAAAAAGCGACTGGTACGAGGCTGAAGCTTCACAAAAACGTTAGGCAGACGGGCATTTATATGCAGGAACAGAGTGAATAAACTTGTTTGTTCTTTTGGAGTGTTTTTTTTTTATGTCGAATAGGGAGAAATTTCGATTTATTTAAGCTTCGTTCTGTTTTGTTATTTTGGACTGAAACGAGACTCGTGAAGGCAAGGTTCTCCTTTTTGTGTGGGTTTCAAAGTAAAGAGTACTCTGGATTAACCGAATGATGTGTATAAAATCTCTAGCATCATTTCTCGGCAACGATAAACAAAACCATGGCTCGAAACATGCTCACAGATGAATGAATTGTATTCGAATTCCTAGGAGAACTAAAGCGACCGATACAGCAGCGCAGAAGTCGTTCTTTCGTCACATCATGGTTTGACAATCCAAGATTGAACGCTTTGAATTCGCATTCGCCATGATTTTTGTATGTGAATTGAATAGTCGATCGTTTTTGTTGAGAATTAAACTATTCCACAACAGTCAATATCAATGTCGCATGAGTTTCTGAATTGAATACATCAAACTCTCTCCAGCATTTGTTTCCACTGGCATATTTGAATTGATATGGTGACGACATCGTCATGATCAAATGAGAAAAAAGTTGAAAATATTCGAGAAGAAAGAGGCAATTCAAAATGCGAAATTTCATATCGAGAAATTCCTCGTGACGAGTGAAATGATAAGAACTTCGACTTGATGATCAGTTGTCAGTTACAGAGGATCATCGGGATGGACATGGAGATTGAACAAATAGATGCGATCGATGACAAATGTTACAAAATTAATAGCTAAACAGTCGACTTATCTAATGACTGTCCAATCATTAGACAATAGACCGGATATGATCCAAGGTCTGTTTCGATAGGCGAGTCAACTGAAGGATGACGAAATGAGAATTCTAAGAAAGACAGCGGCCGTAGTACACACCTGAGCACATATATCGAATATTCAAACCTGATTACACAGCCAAACCTCGATTATATATCAGCAATGCCTCGTTCGTCTTGAAGAATACTTAATACGCTTGATGCGTTGGCAAACAGCACTGTTGGGTGTGAAACTGAGGGTGCTTCGATTTCTTGATATAGAAAAGATGGCAAGTCGATTTGATGCTGCGAACATTTTATTGGTTGTACTTGTTTGCGCGATACAGAATGCGGCTCCCTTGTGATCGACACCAATACTCATGTTCTCCATGCTAACATCCCCGTGTGTAAGTTATCCTCATTTAAAAGATAAGGAGTGTCTGTAATGGTTGTTACTGTTTTACTTCCTTAGACTTTCGATCAATAAACAGAAAAGAAATATATGCTTCACCCTGGCATAGAACCTGTCTCATCATATCCACACTTTCTATTCGTTGTTTTCGTTCGTCTACTCGTTTCTACTCACTAGAGTGACCGTATATACCTAGAAAAGAACAATGCAGAGAGAAGCCGAGCTAGAATTTAAGTTAGCAGTAGCTTCTCAATTGAATACCCACAAATAGTTGAAGTAGATTTTAAATGAGTCGATTGAGTGGAACTGAAATGACAGAGCGCATTGACTAAATAGGATTGATGCTTGGTGATACAAAACAATTTCTATTTTCAGAAATGGGGTATAAATACTGGCCAAACAACAACCAGTTTCATCACATGATCAATCTTCTATTTTCTTGGACTTTGGTTGCTTTTTTGGCCATCAATTCTTTGTCTGCTGACCTTGCAAAACGCGGTACCAATTGGAACGGGAAGAACTGGGCCATGTCTTGTGATTTCCATGGAAATGATCTTTCTAACGTTCAAATTTCATCAGAACTTTGTGGTGGGAAATGTGCTGCTACCGATGGATGCACTCACTTTACCTGGACCAACTGGAATGGTGGTACTTGTTGGATGAAACAGGGTCCTGTTTCCACGGACGCTGCCACCCCAAGCAATGATCCAAGTATGGTCTGTGGTGTAATGGACAAACCAGATTCAAAAACACCTAAAGCTGAAGGAAAAACCACTCGATACTGGGATTGCTGCAAACCCAGCTGCTCTTGGCCTGGAAAAGTGTCTGGATCCAATACTTATGTGAAAAGTTGTGGTAAGGATGGCAACTATGTTCATAACGATGCCAATGTTGCCAGTGGATGTGGTGGAGGGGGAGCCTTTACCTGCAACAATCAAAAACCTTGGGCTGTCAATGACCAATTGGCCTATGGATTTGCTGCAGCCAGCATTCCAGGATTAGAAGAAAAAGATCGTTGCTGTGCTTGCTTCAAATTGGATTTCACGAGTGGTCCAGTTCTAGGAAAGACAATGATTGTCCAGGTCACTAACAGTGGAGATGACGTGAGGCCACATCAATTTGACTTGCAAATTCCAGGAGGAGGTGTTGGACTCTTCAATGGATGTCGGCCTCAGTGGAATTCACCAGCTAATGGTTGGGGTCAAGTATATGGTGGTGTTTCTTCGCGTCAAGAATGTGATGCTCTTCCGGAGCCTATTCGAGCTGGGTGCGAATTTAGATTCGATTGGTTCAAACAAGCTGACAATCCCACGATGACCTACTCCAGAGTAAAATGTCCTGCGGAATTGACTGGCATCACTGGATGTTCTCGCAACGACTGATATATCAAATTTTTTTTTTCTTTTTATCTTTTTATTTTTTCTTCTCTCACGATTATTTTCTTTGTCTGTAAAACTTTTTGTTGTATCATTCGTCATATAAAAGAGCAATTCACATTGCATAGTCTCACCATCTGAATGTTTTCTTGATTATAGTTCGTCTGATCTACTCGCAAACGTTTTTTCTGAACACATAAACTTGTAGAGAGTTCTTTAGAAAACCAAACATAAGAAGGCAAGTCCATTAGATACTATTCGAGGTTTTTGAAAATTACCTTTCAAAGATTTCCTCACTATTTCGTGATCAACAGACATATTTCTCGAGATCAGTCGAAGACTTCACGTCAAACTGACTTTCATTTGCATTTGATTGTTCGATTCTTCAACGAAACATACGAATCAAATGTATGTAGGCTAGCAGATCCAAAATGTCACCTTGCTAACATCATTGATCGATTGATTGAAGAAAGAATTTTATTTGTTTATCTTTGAATAACAAGTTCAAGTCGATGAATAGAAAATAAGCAAATTCGAAGCTGAAAATCGGAAGAACTTTCTCGAATCATCTTGTTTCCAAGAATATTTGACGATGATTCTTGCAAATAAAACAATTTCCTCTCAATTGTCCAACAATCACCAACTGTTGATCTTTGTTCATTTCATCTCATTCTCAACGAATTGATGGAACGTCGAGAAATGATGAGAATCGAATTTCTCAAAAGTCATTCAGGACATTTTGTACTCAGTTATTGATTCTTTCAACAATTCTCTGAACAGAAGTAAAATGATCTCCATGTAACTTTTCTAATATTGCTTTATTTGTGGTTGAGTGATCTCGATGATTGTATTTCGTTTTTCTTGGTCACGCACCATTTTAGAATAACCTTATTTTACCATCTTGAACATAATTGTTGTTATTGAAACCTCTAAGAGGCAGTGCACGATAGAGACGAACGAAGTTGCTCAATGAACTGTCACAGATTTTTCTCGAATTATCAGAGCAGATAGAGAAATGTGTCCTGAACATTTTTGTCTCTTGACATTTTTTTCCAAAATGCTTTCCCTTGCCGCTAGAGTGCTTGCAAAAAAAGTCGTAAAATACGGAAAAAAAGCGATTTTCCAGTCGAAAATTTTGCTTATGCTATAACTCCGTCAAATCAAATGCTAATGAGCTTAA